AAAAAAAAAAAAAAAAAAAAAAAAAAAAAAAAAAAAAAAAAAAAAAGGCATGGCAGCCGACAAGAAAATGAAACATCAAACAGAAGCCCGAGTCTTAGTGACCGTAATTTTATTGGAGCACCAAAGAAAGTAAAGAAAAATAGTTAATCAATGGTGAGGGTGAGGCCTTTCAAGCGCCGCATACGAACGGGGTGAAGGAGGAACCATATCCTCAACAGAAGTAACCACAACCTTATCAGCCGCCGAAGGAAGTGTACAGGGGACATAGTTGAAGGTGTTGGCTCGAGGGCAGCTCCTCGGCTTTGAGAAGAACGCGGCGCATTGGGCTGCAGTTTTTTGCAATCGGAACCCCGGAAGGCAGTTCCCTTGCACGTGGAGTCTTTGCGCTGTCACTAACTTTCGGCACTGTGGCCCGATTTGGGTGAAGTAGTTGTTGCTTAGAGTGATGTTGTAGACGTCCGGAAGCCTGCAGAGGGACTCGGGAATGGCTCCGTAGAACTGGTTGTTGGCTAAGTTTAGAATCTCCAAGCTAAATAAGCAGCCCAAGGACTGCGGGATTGGACCTGTCAAGATGTTGGAGTTGGCGTCGAACACTGTGGCTTTTACCAGATATCCTATCTCGAAAGGCAGACATCCCGACAGCCTGTTTCTTAAGAACAGCACCTCCCGAAGAGTTCTCCAAGCTCGCCCGATGGTTGGAGGGATTGGACCTGTTCAAAACCACAGGAATCAATTATATTAGAATCTGTAATTTCTCTCTCAAATTTCTTAGGCTACGTGGCACAAAATTAAAATTTAAAGACTTGAATTAATTTAGATTGCATTTATGGACCAATCAGAAAATGATTTTCATATTAAAAATTAGAGGAGGACCTGTAAACTTGTTGCCAGCAAGTGTGATATACAGAGCGGGCGTGTTGCCGAAGGTGGCTTGGGGGATCCTCCCGGCGAAGCCATTGTTGTTGATGAAAAGGACGTCGGTATCGATGTTGAACAACCGATACGGAACCGAACCATTATAAGTATTGAAACGGAAGTCCAGAAACGCCAATTTATTAGCTCCAAGGACATAGCCAGGGAACCCACCAAGGAACTTGTTGTTGCTCAAATCGAGCTCATACAGGAACCGCAATTTGTTAATATTGCGGTTGACAACGCCAGTGAAGTTGTTGGAATTAGCATGGAAGATGGCAATGTCGGGCAGGTTACGAATGAAGCGATAGAAGTTCAAGAAAGGGCCACCAAATCTAGCGCCACTGAAGTCGATGGAGGATAGGCCAGTGATGTTGAGGTCGGGAACCACGTCGCAGAAGAACCCTTTGAAGAGGCAGTAATTGTCGCCCACCCACGTTTTGGTGTACCCTAATGGGTCGTAAGTGATGTTTCTTTTGAGCTCTTGGGTTATGAACAGGATTCTGGCCCGGTTGGCTAGAGGTCCCGGGTCGTTATTCGGGCGGCGAGGCATTAGCTTGATGCCCGGTGGGATCAGCGACGGTCTTGGCCGGATCCGCGTGATGGTGGGGTTCGGGCGTGGAGGTCCTGTTTGGGCAAGGCCATGCAGGAGGAACGAGGACTGTAAAACGACAAGGATGGTGAAAATCTTTGGCCACATTTTTTTGTAACGAGACAAACAGAGGAGGGGTGTGTGAAAGGGGAGGCTGAGGCTACACCATTTTATAATAGTAAGAACAAAAGTCCCCCAATAGTATGACGCCACGTGGAAATTCTTTTCCTCTTTTGGAGCTTTTCTTATTAAAGAAAAAAAGATAGTTTGATCGCTTGGGGCTTTGGTTGCAGCCTCCTATCCTAACAATATGATTATAAAAATGCATGGAGAGGAAGGTGAAATCATTATCAACTTTTTAACAAATACTTTTCTTCTATCAACCCATTCCTTTTATTATAGGAATTTAATTTGGAAAAAGAAAAAACATCGGTGGGTCAGGATCTAACATGCTCAGCAAGACTTTTATTCCCAAATCCTGAACTGCTCTTCCTTTTAATTCCTTTACGCTCCATTAACCCTGCTCCGTATTGGGGGCAGATAAAAAGACAGCCGAGTGCTATGGCCCCCCGACGACATTGCATCGACCAACCCACCTTCACTTTCACTTTCACTTTCACTTCGAGGAATACTCGGCCCTTTTGTTTTCTTGTTTATTTTTTTATTTGTGTACGAAGAGAAATGTATACACAAGGGAGGGTTCATAAACCCAATAGCTAATTAGGCTTTACAGTACAGGAGATGTGAGTTGCTATCCAATTAAAAGCACCATGCTTAGAAATTCTTTTTTAGAGCGAATTATAAGAGACGCATCCTGCGTAATGTAATTTCACGATGATAAAAGTTCCTTGGGTAGTATGTGTGAATGTTTGATTAATCCACCACACTTAAATCGTGTGAAAGTTATCTTATTTATAATCAAATAAATTACAAGGATATGGAAATAGTAATAAATAGAAATAACAATAAATGGAAAGATATAATAAGACAAATATTAGATATTTGTCTTATAATAAAATATCAAATATAATATATATGGTAAACTATAATTTATTACTAAATATCCTTAACAGTATGAATAAAGGAAAAGCTCAACCCCACTCCCAAGGTCTGTCTTCAATTATTGCTCCTCCCGTCTAAAGATGTGTGATCTTTACATTTAAAGGTCTTCGGTCTTGCCCTTTCCATGACTTATATTCCACCACTACAGAAATTAGCCAAATTTCATTTAAATTAACTAATAAATAAATAACCAACACAACTAAAACATAATAATTGATATAATTATAGAAGAGTAGGACCAACACGAGGATCATTGTTGTTTCTTTAAAATTTTCATTTTTAAACATATATTGTCGGTCTCTTTTAACTTGGACGATAATATAAAATCAAAATTAATCCTGAAACACGTTTTAGTTTTTCTGCTGTCTTTAAAAATAGGAAACTAAAAAGAAAAACTCAACTCCTAGCTTTTATTTCCTGTACTCCTTTTTTTAAAGGTTTATCTGCTTTACTGTGGCGCATCCACCAAAGCCAAGTCTCAACGTGTACTTCCCTTTTCTTCATTGAAATAAAAAAAAAAAAAAAACTATTATAAATTGGTGTTTAATTATTTTCAACCCATTTTGTGGTATGAAAAACAGTTTTAAAATATATAAACTCACTCTTGATAAATTGTTAGCACATTACATAACGAGTGGAACACCGAATAGTATTTTTGTACATGAATTATTGGGGCAGGAAGAGGAAGTAGAAGCAGGACTTTAATTCCCAATTCCGAGCACCTTTTTCTTTTAACTGCTTTAGGTTCCATTGCCTTTACTTTGGTGCTACAGGAAGAGAAAAGAAAAGGTCCCAAATGCAACAAGCCTGAATCCAGGTATCAAATTTTAAATTAGAACAGATTTATTATTATTATTATTATTATTATTGTTATAAGAAGGGAAAAGATTTGGGCCCCCATGCTCGTGTACCGGCGGCCCATTATTTTTTTAACACGAAGCCCATCATCAGATCGACCACATTCCGTCTTGTAGCCTAAATTTCATTCCCATGAAGAAACAAGTCCGTCAAGTCAAGGATCCTGTATTCATCCACGTCTTACTTTCTCAGCGTTGTAATCTGAAGAACGCGGGTGGAGATGGAGTTTTTTGGAATGGATTTCACCTGTGTTTTCGGAGCTCTAAACCACGGCAAGTTCCCGGAGAAAGATTGCTTGCTACCCCTCATCTCTAAGCTTCTCGGCTATTGCATTGTCGCCGCTTCAACCACCGTCAAACTTCCTCAGGCAAGCTATTCTGTCTTCCCTCTCTAGACTATAAACATATCTGTTTTGACTTTATCGACGGAAATGTGATGGAATCATAGCGTTTGTAATAAATGTTCACCTGGGTTGTGTTCTCGAGGTTCGGCTTGCCCTCTAATTCTGTGTAATGCAATTCAAGACCCCGTGAAATGTTTGTGAACACTTTTTGTGTTGTGTAAAGTGGCGGTTGATAATAATTTTTTTAATGTTTAAGCTTGATAATAAACTTTTTAGGCTCAATTTTGCTAATAATTTTTGTTAGGTTCAATTAGTTCAGTTATAAGTAAGCATCTGATACCCAAACTTTTTTGGGTGTAGCTAAGAATTGCAACCTGTTCCAAGTCTAATTAGGTCCTAAATAAATCTCTTGAACTTATATCAATCACCGAGAAGATCCCCACGCTTCCTTTAAATTCAAATATTTATTTATTTATTTATTTATTGTTTTCTTCCTGTTCAACGTTTCTGCCTGAATAATTTTTACCATTTCTCTTGCATGCATCCTACGATGGTTGCCGTTATCTACTATTATTCTCAGCCTATTGGTATGAAAACGTGGATCAGAGCGTTACTGTATCCTATTTGTTTTCACCTGTTCAGATTCTGCTTCTTTCTTGACGCATGCTTCTATAATGAGAACATTTCAACTGAGATCCTCCTGTGTTTTTATTTATATATTAATTTTTGCAAAAGAAGGGAGAAACTTGTAACTGCCTTAACACGCTCCCACTCAGATATTGTGCTCTAGCGCCAACAGTTCTAGCCGGTCAGATTAATCCTGCTCTCTTTGAAGCTCTTTACGCAAGTCTCGTACTGTTTTTTTAGGATTTATCGCTTAATCCATGTTTTAAGCTTTCTCAATTTCTTGTAAATTGTTCTTTAGATATTTTTACTGTCTGTCACTAATGTATTTGTTCATTCCTCGAAGAAGGTAAATAAATGAAGAAAAATCATGGACTTACCTTTACGTGTTGAAAATTTTCTCCTGTAATAGCTCTATACTAAAATCTTTGCCAATTTGGAAACTTCCTTTCAGCCATCTCAACATGCAGTTTTTCTCTTCTCGAGGATCCCTCAAATATGGAAGAACTTTTCTGTAAGTTTATTTGAAGGTTCTATTATACGATTTCAAATTTTCAATTAAATTACCCTTTGGGAAGGAAGAAAAAAAAAAAAAAGACAGGAAAAAATATTAAATGATATTGGACGATCTGTACCATTGTCATAGTTTCTCCAATTGCATTTCAAAAGATTAGGAAAGTGGTTCGAAACTGAACCTTGTAATCACGAAACCAGCTGTTGTCATGTTAACCAATGACCGTTCAAGTGAGAGTTTACCTTTCCTTTTGAGCATAGGTTTTTTGCCTTTTGGATTAACCCAATAGGCCTCGTACCAACAAAGCTATCATTCCTCACTTATGTACTCATGATCTCTCCCTTATCTAGCCAATATAGAATTTTAGTTGCATTCCCAACATTTATAAATAATCTTTTCTTTGGTTTGATGATATCATGTCTTAACCGTATTTTGTTTTGTTTTGATATCTTCCATGAAAGTACTCATTCAAAAAAAAAAGTAATCCTCTGTAATGAACAAAAGTTCTGGGAGCTTAGCCTTTTAACATCCATGATGAACTTTGGAGGTTCTATGGGTAAGACGATTCCCTGATGAAATTTAGTCGGTTGCATTAGTTTTCTCGTGAAGACATCAAGGTTTATTCCATTTTTCTTTTGCAGTGAGGGTTTTCACCAGCATACAAGAAAACGCACCAAGCAGTGGTATCCTCTTTTTAAAATTTATTTTTATTTTTTCCTTTCCGCACTTTTATTATTTGGGTAGTAGTTTCAGTGATAACATCTTATAAGAATTCAAGAATCAGTCTCATGCATGAAGTTTTGGTCTTTTCTAGGTTCAGCCTTTGCTCGAACACTTTCTCCGAGTTTACTAACAAATTCTCATTTCTTTGTAGTCATCGGTTATACTACTTGAAAAATATAAACTTGATGGAAAAATTCAAACACTCCCTTTTTCTGTTTGTAAAAATGCACTGCTGCATCAGTCCTCTCTAGGTCTTTGAAAACCTACTCCCACAGGTTTTATGAGTAACCTCTCGTTCTTTTTTGTTGTTAATATAATCCATTCAAGTTATTTTCCTAGATATTTATTCATTTTGATAAACCGTGGTCCTTAAAGCTTGTCAAAGTTCTCTTGGGATCGGCATTTTCCATTGTGACACACAGTACCATTTTGAGTCGGATAATTGTATACCAGAAGAGGGATGTAAAGAAAGAGAAGAAAACAGAGTAGAGGATGACGACTTGCAGTTGTGACTTTGGCATACTGAAGATTAAATATTGTATGTAGTGAGTATAGGTGAACCAATGTCAACCCTTTTCGAGATTATCATTTTACTACTAGAAATCCCTAGTTTTCCTTTCTTTTCTTTTGGAATATGACTTATGAGGGCACATTGATAGCTGGAATTATTGTAGGTTTGGACTGTGATCTCCACCGGATTGCAGTCCCGCATAACTTTATATATGTGATGTTTTTGTTGTACTGGTTCTGGATTGTCATGATAATTCTGAAGGGAAAGGAATGGGTTGTCAACTCATTTCTCATCATCGTGTTTCGTAGACTTTTGGTAGCTAACAAATGATTACGACCACTTATTAAGAACCGATCATCCATATCGATTATATCATTCTAAGATGGAAATTATTCATTTTAACCTTAGTTTTGTTTCGTAACAGTTTTTAGTAGTGAAATTATACAACTATTCACCTTCAATACATAAACAAGTTAATACAAATATTCAAAGTGATGTCATCCATATGCAATGTCTTGTTGAAATTGAAATAAAGGTTTTAAAGATCATAAAAAAAAAAAAAAAAATAAAGGGTTTTGCATTTTTGATAAAAAAAAGTTGGGGGGAGACATACGACTACTACTATACGAGGCTGCGTGCCTGAGTTGAATACACAGACAAAGTGGTGGCTGCCTTGTGTTGTTATCGCCTTAACGCCACCTTGTGTTGTTACAGTTCCATTGATTCTATTTCTGTATGCCCTTCTCGTAGATTGAGCCTTCTATTACCAAAGAGACAGCAACGTTTCAGTGAGGTTCTTCAATTACATTCCCTTTCATTTCTCTATACGTTTGAGGCCTTTGCTTCTTCCAACTTAATGAACCCTACTGCCCTTTCCTTCCTTCCCCTCTGTATCTGCATGTTTAAGGCCTTTGCCTCTTCCCAAGAAGAAGAACCAAAAAAAAAAAACCCATAACTTTTTGTACAATAAAGCAGCACTCTTTAATTAGCCCCTGCAACGAGTGAACTCCCATGCTTCCACCCACCGCTCTCCTACCATTCCTCCACCACCCCCACCATAGAAATAAAAATCACAAAAGGTTAAACCTTTAAATTTTGTCTAAATACCTATGTTTAACTTTTTAACTTTATATTTAATAGGAGTAGTATATATATATTTATAAAAAAAAAAAAAAGGCATTTTTGTTAACTGGGTTTGGGAGTAAAAAAAGACATTTAATAATTCCCATATTATTACGTCTTTCATTCCATAATAATTATTTAATCAGATGGCTTAGATTTTAGATATCACAAACACTCAAATACACCTGCTCGTAGAGGATCATCAGGGGGACCCTCTTGCCAACTGGCCCAATCACAACATGAAAATCGGTCACGTGTTACCTTTTAAAAATGCTGACGTGGGTAAGATCGAGTTAGAGTAGTCTAAATTTTTCCTAATTTTACGTGCGATTTGGCGGTCACCAGATACAAGCACAAAGCCTCGGCTCATGAACTCTTACCAATAAAGACTCTCCCTTGCCCCCCCCCCCCCCCCCCCCCCCCCC